CAAAATTCATTCGAGCACTGTCAACCTTATTGACAGCTTCCGCTACACACAGACTAGAAGAAAAAAAATGAAAGATTGGTTTAAAACGATAATACCCACATGAACCAATAAATAAAAATATGACGACATATTTAAACAGAAAAAAAAATTCAGTGACCAAAAATCTCCTATTCGTCAAGGTCATGCACCTCGTTCCACATCCCCCACGAAGAGCCCCAACATCATTTTCTAAGAACCAAACATACAACTTTACAACATTGTGTGACTTAATGAAGAACGTAAACAACAATAACAGAGTGGATTTACGCCGAGCCAGTATTTACAACAATCATTCCAATGCTGCTAGCAAGGAACAAATGCAACATTTTATCATGCAAGTAAAGCCAAATTCAAAACGTTTTTTCTCCAAGATGCTCGACACTTGTTGCAATAACAATCGACGTAAACGTTACACAAACCAGTTCAGATGGCACGCGAAGGTAACTGGAATGGATCATCGATGGTAAGCAGATTTAACAAGAAAATGCTATAACATAATCAAACACTATTTTGAGAAAGGTTAGAAAGAACGTACGCAGACATGTATACACATTAGCATACTCATGAACACATCCATCTGTTACCGTGTCCATTGAAAGCTTACAAAATTTGTACCATTGTAGCATGGGATGTACTTCAGAAGAAGTCACCCTATGAAGCAAAGTGATTTTGTTGCCCATTAACTTGAAACGTCAGAAATCAAAATTAATGAACGAAGTGATAAACGTTTGGTTTGTCTTCGGAATAAATGCACCTATGACAAAGGATATTTACCTGTCTGAACGATTTAATTGGTTTGTGTAGAAAGACAAGACCATGTACGTAGTCGGGCTGTCAACAGTTTGTTAGATATGAAATGAAGAGGGTGAAAAGGAAATTATTTCACTTGCCTGAGCTACAAAGTGACCTAAAACAGTTAACAAATGTGAATAATATCGAACACATTTTTGAACAAAGTACACATAAAGTCGGAAAAAGTCTATTCTAAGAAACAGGTTGATGGAAAGAATATGCACTTAGCTTCGAATCTTTGATCGCTGCTTCACAAGTCATTGATCAAAGCAAAGATGTAAATGTTACCAACATACTGTTAGACGCAGCTGCATTTCCTATTCCGATTTTATCTAACAACTATGGGAAGCAACCACTGTGTATGTTATGTGAAGGACATGTCCTTAAAAATTAACTCGTATGCTTTTTCCATATCCGTTTATGGTGTAATGTGTTACTGGATTAGTCATTGGCAATTCAGATATGCATGTAGGTGATAAACAAATGTGACGATTTGCTTAGCAGCAGTGTCGGTTATTATCTTCCCAATTCGACGTCGAAATAGTCCTCAACATCAGTCACCTCTCCTTTTTTAAACAAAGCAGCAGCCATCCTGTGGAATCCTCTTTCAAAAAACATCTTTTGATATCAAATGGCTCATTAGAGACAAGCACCATCGAATTAAGAATAATCAATTTTATTTAATATCACCCGGTGACACAGGCATATATTTCATAAAAGCATATTCAATTGTATCATAAAGGGCATTGTGAAGTGGTTTTGGCATCAAAGCGTTATCCAACTTGATTCAATAATGTGGATGAAGATCAAACCCAGTTTAAACCCTGAACAAATATTTTTAAGAACACTTGGACGTAAATGATTTTCTAATTTATGAATTAAATCTTCACGCCCCCATCAAATCCCCAATTCAATAATAGTAACATATAAATTACTGAAAGATGTTCGTTTCCAATGCTTAACATCTCGTTCAAGGAGTTTAGATTCAATGATCAAGTACTGTGCAATAGCTCAATGTATTAAATTGTTATTTTTTAGGCAAACTGGTGTCGAATTATCTCCCCATATTTTATTATTCTTAGTAGAATCAAGAACATATGACATCAGTCAAATTACATCGAACGATAAATAAAAACGATTCAATAATTGTTTTAAACACGATCATCCAATTAAACTAAGGAAGATTTTGATTCTTTTTTATCTTTAATGTCGTCAAGTCAAACTTTGTAGATAACAACTTTTTCGTTGCAGATAGTTATTTCTTTCAAAGTTGATTCTTCCAAAACTGCGTTTTCTTGTGTATATTTGTATGATGTATATTATTTTGATTATACTAGTGTTTGTAAAAGTCGACTATTTAATGTCATTTTCAATGCTAAGATCCTTGTAGTGAGTCGTGCATAAGGTGTACTATTCATTTCATGAAAATATCCAAGGTCGTGGTACTGAAAAATTGGGAAAAACATCAAATGGTCAAATAAGGTCAGGTGTGAGGCAAATTGAGGTCATGCACCTGCTGAATGCGGCACGTGACAAATTCATTTACTAGAGAATTTGAATAAGCTGAGATGTTGACATTTCAAAATACAGGCTGAATAATTGAAAGCATTATATAATCAATTTTAAAATTAAGCATTATATTTATATATAGAAGGAAAATACTCCTCAATCACTACTCTTAAAGTAACACAGGTTTTGCAGAATTTTTGAGGATATAATTCATTCATAAATTCAGTTACAATTAGTATAATCATTAACAGATTTAGAAAATTTATTTTTCATTCACATCCTTTTGCCTCAGACAATAAATATCAGCAACACCAACATTAAATTCAAGCAGTCAAAACGAAACCTCTGTGTCACTCTTGACAATACACTCTCATTGCATCAACATGTCATGAACCTATGCAAGGCTGCATATTTTGAGCATTTAGAACAAAGACACAGTGATCTCATTCAACAGCGCTCTTACAACTCATCTATTTCAACTACTAGAACAGTCATAAAGACCCAAAATTGTATCAATATAACATATCCGTGCCTTAACAATTTACACTATGTTTTTCTGTTTCTAATTTTGTGGTGTTTGTTTTTATTTTGCAATCATATCATTATATATGTTTTTTATTATTTTAAGTGTTGTCAAAAAATTTTGCAAAGTGTTTAGAGCTTCCAAAGATTAGGCGCTATATAAAGTCTTCATTCTTATTACTATAAAAAGGATATTCGGATACCTATATAAAAGCTATACTTGATTATTAAACATGCATTCAAAGTTTCCTTGGATATTTGTATGATAGTACGTATTCAAATAATAATTCGATTACTTTGCATTTATCGTGAAGTCACTAAACGACACATGGGTTTAAAACACTGATTTCTTATGCACGGTTGACACATCAGTGCATTCATTAATCTGAATACCTCTGGAACGTGTGGGTTTGCATCAGAACTATCGATCTAACAGACCTGTTTAGGGAAGATAATTCATTAATCATACTGTAATTTAATTTTAACTGTTTCACCTCTTGTCTCGGAAATAAATTAATATTTTGAATTTTACTAAACTCGATCGTTTTGCTTCTTTTTGTTATGTAATAAGCCCACAGAGTCATAACACTTACGGTGAATGATAAAATATGAATCACGTTTATCGAAAATGAATGGATTCTCATTATATTTATGTCTGTTCGTCTTATTTTGACAGGCCCAATGTTTGTATGAAAAGAGATCTTGGACAGAATATTAAAAGAAAGCGTCTCAGTGAAACTATACTTTGGAAAATGATTCTCCGGTAATTTGCAACATATGTACCAAACCGTAGCTCAACACGAAATACATGCTTTATAATAGAACAGTGAATGTTTTAATATGGTCACTCGAGGATTGCCTGTCTGAAAGATGCTTCTTTCGACGCAAGGGAAATTATTTCTCCAAAACGTAATCATCGATCAACTAGTCCAAAAATGCCTCAATGAATACCAGAACAAATGTATTGATTCTAACTAGAAATTAACCATTTGTCAATGAAACACACTAAAACGAGACACCCTAAAAAGTAATTTAACACTCCAAACGAAAACATGATGTCCTACTGTACGCCACGTTAAGACAAAGCATGAAAATACGTCAATACCTCTTCATACCTAGCAGGCACACGGACAAAACAATACGAAAAGAACAGCTATCCGATAATTTGGCTCATTTAAATTACTAACTAAAAGAAAATCCATGACGTGCCGTGGTCCTTGAATATGTTCAAGACAGAACTCGGTACGATTTTTTGAGCCCGACACAGATTATTCAAACCAAAAATATCAATAGTAATAGCTTCCAGTACCTGAAAGTCAAAGTTAAAAGTATACAACTCTAAGCCAGGCACCGATGCCAGAGTAGTTCTTGTCACCAAAATTTATGCAATTGGGGAGTTTTACTTGAGCAGGACTCTAGTAAGCAGTACAACTGCATTACGGAGAAGATTATGTAAATAATAGCATTGGCACTTTCATGTACCAAAATTGTCTGCTGCATATCTTGACGTGGAGATAAAAATGAAGCGTAAAGACCCATGGACCTAGGATGGTTTTAGAAAATTGACATTTTGAAAAAAAATTCCAAGAATACAGTTGATTGTGAATCATGATACTCACAGTGCTGGTATTTACAACCGCCAAACTGGCATGAAACAAGGACATACTTTAGAGCTGATGGGTTGTTTGTACATAGCTTTAAGGTTGCCAGACAAGTATTTGTTGAATGGAATGAAACTTAACCGAATTAATACGGGATTCCATTCAAAGTTAATGCTAACCAGTACACAACGAACATCGAACTCTAGAAAAACCAATCATCTCAGATCATCCGAATACCTAGCAAGTAATAATTGCAGATTAGCTTTTGCATATAATATGCATTTTATGTGTAAAGTTAAATATACTCATGCTGAGAACAATGTGATGTGAATTGTATGAATTATATCGTATAGCTTTCAGGTATATCTTAGTATCGTTTTGAGTATCGGCATTATTTGTGGTTGATGAGAAATTCTTACTGAGACCAATACATTGTATATTTCTGTTTAATTGTGAAAAGTTTATAATTAATAAAATGTTAAGCCAAAAATGTGTCTGTATCATAATTTATTTCCCTCTTACTTATATGCCCTAGATAGCTCTAGAGACCTAGTGGTTAGATCGTCCGCCTCGGATGCGGGAGTTCGTGGGTTCGAACCACAGTTGAGTCAAAACAAAGGTTTATAAAAATGGTACTAACAGCTATCTCGCAAGATGGTCAGTATTGAGAGGTCAATGTTAGTATTGGTCTTTCTGGTCTCATGATAATATGCCTAGGTGTGACATGCTACTACATGTCTATGGCCTGAGGCTAAAATGCTAGACTTGACAATGAAAAGCCACATTGCAGACATCGTAGCGATATTACTGAAAGCCAGTTTAAAAATCCGAATCACACATACACACACTTATGATATGCAGGCCGTCCCTTCGTTTCATCTGAATGAATATTGGTCAGGGCTTCTTATAATACCTTTGACAGTGTTAAGTTTGAATAACTTTCTTCTCTGTATGCAGCTTGTGTTTTCTGTCGCTAAGTTCAGTTATAAAATATTTATAGCGGGTGAGTATAATAGCATACTTTTTAAGATCTGTTTTCCTTTGAGTTATTTCTGTTTACGTATGTTTCAGTCCGTTTGCTGTCGATATCTCCAGATATTTTAAATTTTCAATTTCCCGTTCATTAAAGAGCTTGCATAATAAAATAACATTAAGATGCAAAATTATTATTTACCCTTTTGATTTCTGACTTAATAACTAAGCGATAATAGAAAAGAATAATTACACTGCAAAATGTAAATGAAATTCAGCAAGGTAGAAATATTAGGTTTAATTACCCTTTAAGCACGACATTACAAATCCATATTAAATGGAAACCATCATTAATGCATCTCGGCGGTAATATGTCAGACATATTTGTATTCATGAAAGCAGTCAGGATGAAATTCGGAAGCGAGATTTGATATTGGTTTTAATTAAGAATCTTTTCTTCGCTTTAAAGTAGGTCATTAGTTCCTTTGAAACTTTGTCACGTGAAGTTTGAGGTGTCATTAGTTTGAGTAATGTCAAGTAATAAGAGGGTTAGCGTTTGGAACTTAAGGAAGGGTTGAGTTAAGGTAGCTGAAAAGCCAGAAGAATTCAGGGATAAGTGTCACTGTTATAGGACTGTACCTGGTTATTACCCTTTAAAATGGCCCTGGGTTCCTACCAAGCAAAATATCCTAAAACACATTATTGGATTGGTGATTTTTGTTGACAAAAGTCAAATTGCCGAAAATATTAGATACCCTATTGTTCAGTTTATTGTTCAGTTTATTGACTCTACAAACATAAACTAAACGTGAGAGTTTTGATTTTAGTTTCAATATGATTGACACGCACTTTCCGCATCCATACAAAACATGCTGCTTCCTGTTCTCGTTTGCTTTAACATAAATAGTAAGTAGAAAAGCAAACACTATCCACAAAGTAGAAGATATAATATTGATCAATAAAGAGGATACTATGATACTATAGTTACAAAAATAATGTTCTTGATCAGCTTGACCTGTATTTATAATTGTCATGCATAGCCAGTTAACTTTGGGCTCATAGTCCGATTTAAATTAAAATAGCGCGGAAATGAGCAGGCCCAGTGGTTAGGGAATCGATCACAAACTGATTTAAACTCAAGAGAGAAAAATTAAAGCTTATGTCCATAGACTTTGAGTATACCGAACTCCGTCATGCGTACAGAAATATGAAGACTACTTGTATAGTATTTAAGTATATGTAACTCCGACATGATTACCGAAGGATGAAGACTATGTTTATACCCTTTGAATATATTGAACGTCGGCATGCGTACAGAAATATGAAGACTACTTGTATAGCCATTGAGTATATGGAAATGTGTACAAATATGCGTATAGCCTTGGAGTAAATGGAACTCGGGAATGCGTACAGAAAGAAGAAGAATATGTTTATAGCCTTGGAGTAAATGGAACTCCGGAATGCCTACAGAAAGAAGAAAAATATGATTATAGCCTTGGAGTATGTAATGTATTTTTACGATATCCATCCTATGCGTAAATGTGTACAATTCGTACTTGTAAAGCATTTTACCTCTTTCTCATGAACAAATATCTGGATCTACTAAACTGATATCTAATGCTTTTTTGTATTAATAAATTTGCATAGTATACTTTGATTACTAAATTGATACGGAATGCTTAATTTACTAAACTGACACGGAATGCTTTCTTTGCTAAATTGACACAGAATGTTTACAGTAATAATTTGATAGCCATTGTTTTGCATTACTAAATTGACAAAGAATGATTGCTATATTAAATTGACACGAAATGTTTACAGTACTACATTGATAGCCAATGAGTTTGCATTACTAAGTTGTCATAGATTTGCTTGTTTTAATAAATGACACGGAATTTGTACATTACTAAATTGATAAACAATGCTTTTGCATTACTAAACTGACACGGATTGCTTGAATTACTAAACTGACACGGATTGCTTGAATTACTAAACTGACACGGATTGCTTGCATTACTAAACTGACACGGATTGCTTGCATTACTAAACTGACACGGATTGCTTGCATTACTAAACTGATTCCGAATGCTTTCATTAATAAATTGAATCTAAATGTTTGCATGACTAAAATTGACACAAACGCTTACATTTAAGACAAAGTTGTAGATTATACTTGTTAATAGGAGAAATAATGTATTGGTTTCAACACTGTTCCAAACTTTACAATAATAACTCGAGTCAATTGTGATTTATTGCTCTCTAATGTGATAAGAAAAAAATTTAAATGATGTAATCAAATCGGTATAAAATTATCTAGAATATGGTATTCTAGCATCCGTTTCCCATCAGATAGGAATGTCGTTGTCTTTCATGTCATATCGATAGGAAGATGCACTTTAACGATCCACTGTCTCATTAGTATTTAACGGAAATTCCACTCTGTTAAACTTATATCTTGCAGAACCGGTGGAAGGACGTAATTTGCCCAAAAACTCAATATGTAGGAAGATTGGCATTAGTCTTGATATATCTCAAACAATCACCCATCTCGATCTGCATACTAATCTGTGACCCTCCATGGCCCCGAGTAATAAATTTTAAACATGTAATATTGTTCTAGTGTATTTGTCCATCACTAGCAATGATTCTCTTCTTATACTGCAACCAAAGAGCTAGGTTGATGTGAACTGACCATATGAAAGTTCGTATTTAACTAACGTCATTCAACTCGTTTCAAGTCCTTCTAAAGAGCGATTTTAGAGCAGATACTGTTTTATGTAGCAAGTGGCTTAGAGCTATGCTACAAGAACAGAACAACAAATCGAGCAATAATCTTTGTTAAAAAAATATGTAAAGAGAAAGTATATCGACTGCAAATACAAATGAACAAGATTGAAAATAAAATATATCCCCTGTGCCCCATTCGCAATGTAGAAGAGATATGACTTTCCAATGTTGAGAAGTTAAAACTTTCTGCACTCTATCTTACTAAAGATATTTTAATTGCTTTCACAGCAGCGTCATTCAAATTATCACACATTACAAATGGTGCTAATAGCCTTTTCGTTTGAAATGCATTAATCACGTTTTTGTTTCCTATTCAGCCATCGATATTGATTGCACTGCCAAAAGCTCACACTATTAATGCTTTTCCTCCATCGAAAGCACGAGGTGTTCCCTTTATCAATATTTCCATTTCAATTTAATGAACAGAAAAAATTAAATACAAATCTTGGCAAAGCCGCAGAGAACAGATCAATTAGAGAGCAAAGCCACAAATGCCAATTTCTGCAGGAAATAAAATGTGATCTGAGGATTACAGTATATTATAGTCATTTCAGCATGTCAGTATTAACGTATATATTACGTTCCAATTCTTCCAGCACTCATATCTCGTCTTTTCACAGATTTATTTGACACTCGAATCTGTCAATTATAATTATATGCAAAACATATCTCTTGAAATTAAAGCAACGCCACTTTTTTTTCTTCCCCTGGATTTTCTCCATGTTACTCGAAAATATAATAATAATCAACATAACGTTTTTTGAAAACAATTACAATGTTACATTTTTATCTTTGTTTGTCAAGGTAGATGTTTATTTCCAAAGTTATATAACAATTTCATCTATATATGCAAAGATAAGTCTTAATAGTTTGTTCATTATGCGTCAGTTTTATTTTCAACGGAAATTCAAAATATTTGCTTGATATAATTTACCTGTAATAGTAAAATAACACATAATGCTACACCGTTACCGCCATCTCCGTGAAATAATAAACGTCGAGTCATCATGCTATATATTTGAATACCATGTATGACACTTCCTATCAACAAAAGTATAATATTTTGAGCTACATGTTTCTTAAAACTATTTTTGATTCAGACAATTTATATTGGAAGCTGACTTAAAGTAAGTACCTATTACGTCGTACCAGACCTAAAGTGTTTTAAGTACCTGTTCAGTCTTGCCACACCTAAAGTGTTTTAAGTACCTGTTCAGTCTTGCCATACTTAAAGTGTAGTAAGCACATGCTCTGTCGTACCAGACCTAAAGTGATGTGAGTACCTGTTCTGTCGTACCAGACCTAAAGTGATGTGAGTACCTGTTCTGTCGTACCAGACTTAAAGTGTAGTAAGCAATGTTCCGTCGTACCAGATCTAAAGTGATGTGAGTACCTGTTCTGTCGTACGTGACCTAAAGTGATGTGAGTACCTGTCCTGTCGTACCAAACCTAAAGTGATGTGACTGCCTGTTCTGTCGTACCAGACCTAAAGTGTGGTAATCACATGTTCTGTCGTACCAGACCTAAAGTGATGTGAGTACCTGTTCTGTCGTACCAGACCTAAAGTGATGTGAGTGCCTGTTCTATCGTACATGATCTAAAGTGATGTGAGTACCTGTTAGAAATTAGTTTTATCTTGCTCAAAAGTAATTTTGTCACATTACCACACGGTAACTATGCAAATAAGTGTGAATTTGCCATATCATTCAATGAATCAACACTGGCGGGTAATCAGCACCAATATTTATAGCAAATGCAGTAGCAATAGTAGAAGTAGTAGTAGTAGTAGCAGTAGTAGTAATATTAACAGTAGTAGCAGTTGTAGTTTTATGATAAGCAAAATGAAGATGAG